CCCACCCCGACTTGTGCTCTCTCTCTCTCTGTCTCTGTCTCTCAAAATAAATACATTAATTTGAAAAAATAGGGGTGCTTGAGTGGCTCAGTTGGTTGAGCATCCAACTCTTGATTTTGGCTCAGGTCATGATCCCAGGGTCAGGGGATCAAGCCCCACGTCAGGCTCTGTTCCTGACAGAATGAAGCCTGCTTGGGATTCTCTCTCTCCCTCTCCCTATGCCCCTCTCTTCCTCACACTCTTTCTCTCTCTGAAAATAAGCATTAAAAAAATGAAAAAATAAAGTAAGCTCTATGCTCAACGTGGGATTCAGACTCAGGACCCAGAGATCAAGAGTCACATGCTCTACCACCTGAACCAGCCAGGCACGCCCGTATGGGTGTTTTGATGGGAAAGCTTAACACCAAAGACCTGAGTCCTGCTCAGGTCACACTAGCTGTGTGACCCTGGGCCAGTCACCTCACCTCTCAGTTTCCTTAACCATAAAGAAGAGATATGAACCGTTGGATGGGTATTGGGAAGTTAAAATAGAACCGGGTACAAGAAATGCATCAAAATCATATATGTACAGTAGAAATACTTCACTCAGCAAACATTGATCACTCGTCTCCTATAGAAGGCACTACGTAAGACGTTGAGGTTTAAAGGAGGAAGTACTGTCAATCTCTCAGGAAACTCCCAATCCAGCGGGGGAAGAGGACCCGCTAAGCTAACAATCACCCAGCGTGACCAGAGCTAGAACCATGGCAGAAACAGAGTGCCGGGGTGGGGGTGGGAGGCGGAGGCCTACCTGGGGGCCAAGGCCAGGGCAAGTGCTGTTGGAGCACAGGTTGCCTGGCAACAAGGCTAAAAATGTCAGCTGCCGTCAGATTGGGAGGGCTGTGATGCGGTCCTGAGAAGTCCAGACTCTAGTCTGAGGCCAGTAGGGAGCTGCCAAAAGTTTTTAAGTGCCGTAATTATAGGATTGGGCTGGGATTTGAAAACCCTGGTGGCGGCGTGGAGGATAGAAATAAGGCAGCAGCAGCGTTGCACCAAGTGGGGCTGGGAAATGGCGCCATGATTGTCTGCCCACGCTGTGCTGATGGCAGCCGGAGTGATGACTTCCTCTGGGCTTTGTGTCCTCTCGCCTCAGGGAGTCTCCAGTGGACTGCAGTGTTAGCAAATGCAGCAAGCTAGTTGGTGGAAGCGAGTCCAACGCCATGAACTACAACAGCTACATGGACGAGAAGAACGGCCCCCCTCCTCCCAACATGACCACCAACGAGAGGAGGGTCATCGTCCCCGCAGGTACTTTGGGAACCAGGCTGCATGCTGGCATCCGTGCCCTCACTTTCCTGGGCTAGTAGTTGGAGGGCGGGCTTGTCCCAGTTGGGCATCTGAACCTTTACCTGGTAACCTATTCGCTATGGAAGTGCTGACTTAGGAGGGCTACCTTCCTCACCTTCCTTCCCACTGTCCTTCAAGATAGTGTCCCAAGTGTCACCAGCACCCTGAAGGGCAGGTGCCGGGAGCCCACCCTCAAACAGGTCATGTCATAGACTCGACCTCAAGACACGGTACCACAGGATGAGGACTGCCAAGAGGGCAGAGGCAAGGCCGTCTGAAACCAGAAGGAGTCCCAGGAACTCCTGGACGGGCCCGCCCTTGCCTTTAAGGAGAAGAGTGGCCGCAGAGGTCTGTCATGTCCATCAGGCAGTACTTCCTGGCATCTGCAAGCTTCCACCTTTCCAAAATTACAGCCAGCTCTCTTCGTTTCAAAATAGAAATAACTATATTTAACAAATGGAGCGCCTTAACGTGTGCAGCAAGTTATGTCATTATGTAAAAATAGCCTATTTTTCCTAGGTATTGGTGCTGTTTGGTTACAGAAAATAAAATCATTGTTCAAGCCTTCTGTCCATCGGCCGGATGCTCTGCCTCAGCTAGACCAGCTAGCTCAGCAGCCTGGTCAGAAAGGGGGTTTGAAAACTGCAGCGGGTAGAGTCGGTGCCAGGTAGAAGGAGCGAGAACGTCCAAATCTTAAGCAGAGTGAATTACAAGGCAGGGATTAAAACTAATCTTACCAAAATAACATGACCAAAAAGGCACAGCCCCTTCCATTCGCAAAAGTGTAAGTGCCGTGGTGTCTGAGGGCAAAGGATTAGACATCTCTTTGAGGTAGTGCAAAGGAATTTGCTTGTTGGCCTAGAAGGCATGGTTTTGTAATGAGCCTCTCCTTCCTACGCCCTTTTGTATTTATTTTCCATGGGAAGCCGTGTCTCACCATCTCGTAGGACTATGGCCGCGTAGCATCCCTATGCGCCGGGCCAAACTCAAGGTGGCAGGAGGTGGGAGGTGTGGGACCCAGGGAGGCAGGAGGAGCTGGGAAAATAGGAATTTTTCTGTGCCCTGCAGGACCTGAAAACTATTCATAAAGGATTTTTTTGAGTTTCCCTTTTCCACAAGCACGCGGCTTCACACAGGAGGAGGGAGAGTAGTTCCTATTTTCTGAGCACTTTCCAGATGCCGGGCGCATTTAACTGCTTTCTCTACTTACACTACTTATGTCATTTAATGTTTGATCCCCTCCCTCTCTCCCTCCCTCAGACACCAGGAATGTTTAGCTCAGGTGCGTTTGTAAGGTCCAAGAAAACCGTGTTCCTCCCTTCTCATCAAAGGAAGCAGACCATGAAGGAACAATAATGCAGACAGGGTGGGGACCTCGCTGCTCTCCCCTAAGCAAAGCCAAGCTTCGCCGGGACTTTGCACATCTGGCATCAGACTGCCCTGTTTTGCCAAACAGTGGCCAGCGTGGGAAGGCACTCTTCGGCACCGAAGAGTCAGGGCATCAGAGATTGTCTCTGAACCAAATATGGATGCCATCTCATTTTCGTAGTCACTTCTGGGAGGAGAGAGGGGGCAAACAGACAGGCTGCTTGGTTGACCCTTTCACTCTGAGTTGGTGTTGAAATACTTCCAAAAGGAATATCAAAATGTCAGCCTTCAGTGGACCAAGGTAATAATAATGATAGCAGTAATGGTGAAAATAGCGTGAATTCTTATCAAAGGGTTTTCAAAGCCTTTCTTGCAATGAATTCGCTGGCTATGGATTTACTTCATTACTTTCCCTCTGGTGAGATCTTTCAACATTATCATCAGACATTCTGGCTTCCTCCAGGCCAGCCGCCTGGACATGAGGGAAAGTTTCATTTGGGCAAGTCCACAAATCAAGGCAATAAAACATTTGTGAAACAACTGATTGAATTTATGGTGGAGATTTTGAGACAAGTATAAACGAGGGCTCTGGTTAATCACCAGTTTCAGGTTCAGATGGGAAGAAACTAGGACTAAATCATCCAGGAAATACATTTGGAAGAGTTTAGTGTGATCCAGAGTGGAAGCTTTAGAATTCATTGTGCTGTAAAGGGAGAGAAATAATATTGTGATAGAGCCCAAAGCAAGAGAGGAAATATTAAAATAAATTAAATACGTGGTGTAAAATCGGATTTGAGGCCTCGAACGCTAAAAGTGAGGAGTCAGGATGAAGCAAAGGAGATCAGATGAAATAAAAATGCTGCGTAATCCATTGCCCACCTGTGCCGTTTTCCTTTAGAATTCCGAAATGGTACAAAATATTTCCATTTCCCAGTGGCCCATGCCTAGTTGTTTCTGGAGAGTAAAAGAGCTCAACAAACCAAGAAATTGCTGAGAGAGAGAGAGAGAGAGGGAGGGAGAGAGATGCATAGAGACTTGTACAATGAAGCGTTAGGAGGAGCTCTGTTATTTGGCAGAACAACTCACAGGTGGGAAGGCAAGAGGAGGGGCTTTGGCTCAGGGGGACCCACCCCCTCCACCAAGTGAAGTCCTGGGAAGGCTCAAGGTTGAGCTGGGGACTTAACCTTTCCAAACTCCTCTTGCAATCTGTAAAATGAAGACAACAGCCATTTTGCTGGATTTTCTAGATGCGTGAGCCCCGGGCCGTGTGAGGCAGCTGGCACACGGTAGGCCCCCCAGATCCAGGCCAGTTACCGGGTACTGGTTGTTGGGCGGCAGTCTGTGACCTGAACTCCAAAGCCTCTTCTCTCCTCTTTTGCCGTCTCTTGTACTTCCAGCGCCAGTACAGCAACCACTCCCGCCCGTGGGCCGAGGCTGGGCCCTTCGCAGAGCAGACTCAGCCCCTGCCACCTAGATACTCACATGTAAAAACCAAGGAGAAAGGGAGAACCCGCGGCAAACAAGGGTGATCAGCAGAAGCTCTGAGTAAAAGTGCTGGGGAATTCGTGTCCGGTGAGAGGGAGGCCACAGAACTTCACTCCCTTCCCCACGGCCACTCCTAATCTTCCAAACCTGGTTCCCATATTTGCCCAGAACCTTCACAGACTCTGAATGAGAGGGTGAAGGGCTGAGAAGGTGCACAGATATCCTTTCCTGGGAAATATGCTAAGGAAGCAGGCCCAGTAGAAGCTGGGGGCTGACAGCTTGCCTACAAGGCCAAGCCTCCTCCCCTTGTCCAGGCAGCCTTCCGTATTTCTCCAAGTTCACACTATTCCCCTCCAGCCATGATTCCTTCAACTACCACCATGAAATTTGTTGCTTAATTATGTGGTTTCCCGCCTAAATGTTTCACACGGGCAGATATCTCATGTGGCCAAGAGCCATGCAGTTTTCTTCTGTGATGGGCATTTTTTTCCGATGGGCATATTTAAGATGTCTATTGGATTTGCTGATAATCGGTTGCCAAGGAAAGAGACGGCTTCCAGTCTGTGATAAGACACAAGTGCTCTACCTGCTGTGGAATTTGCTGGAACTCATCGCCAGCCCTCAAAGCATACCCACACCCATCATCCACACACCTAGCCAGAAAGGAGCTGTGAGGCCCCTGGGTGCAGAGGACCTCCATCATCACATTATTTTTGTTCACTCAAAGGCTGAAGGGCTGAAAGGTTTTCTCTCCCCAGTGCGTTTCCCTCATCTCTGGGGACTTAAATATCATAAAAAACGTTTGGGGGATGATCTGGTAGAAATTTCAACCCAGCTGTCTCCACAAGGAGAAAACCCAGGTTGGATTTATGTTAAAGGCTCACAGCGCTGGGTTTTCCAACCGTACAGATGGAATTGCAGTAAAAGTGTACACGTATGTGTTCCCTTCTGTAGCCATCGGAGAGATCGGTGTTCTTCCCGTGCAATCGTTAATGTTCTTAAGATACAGATGGTTTCCCTTTCCAGAGGACTTTGGTCCCTGGGTCCGTGGAACTGTGTTTACTTTCATTTGGATGCCACCATTTCTCCAGCAAAGGTTTTAAAGGCCCTCCAAATACTTTAAAGGGAATGTTCTGTCACGATGCCTAGGGAGACAGCTAAGAACCTCCCCGGAGTGCTAAGTGGTTCAGGCAGTGCCAGATGTGGCGGAGCCAGATGGGAGTTCTAGGAGGACCATCTGGGAGGGAACCCACTTTCCCACTGAGGGAGAGAGTGGGGGGAGGGAGAAGGGGGGAACGGGGGAAGGAGGAGGACAAGGAGAAGGAGGGATGGAGAGAGAGAGGGTGTACGCAGCCTTCATGAAGGCAGGGGAGTCCTGGCCGGCCCTGCCCTTGCTAATGAGCCCTCTCCTCTGCAGACCCCACGCTGTGGACTCAGGAGCACGTGCGGCAGTGGCTGGAGTGGGCGATAAAGGAGTATGGCTTGATGGAGATCGACACAACCTTTTTCCAGAACATGGATGGCAAGGAACTGTGTAAAATGAACAAGGAGGACTTCCTCCGAGCCACCTCCCTCTACAACACGGAAGTGCTGTTGTCACACCTCAGTTACCTCAGGGAAAGTAAGTGTCCTGTCTGTTTCTGGGCAGCGGAGCCCCTCGGAGGGTGTGGCCGAGTCCCCAGGGCTGGGAGAAGACTCTGAACGGCCCTGTCAAAATGAAGACCGATTTCCCATGGAGCTAATCCAGGAAAAGGAAACTGGTTCCCCCCACAGTCAGTTTATGTTGGGCAGATGCTACCGGAGCCTCACACGTCAAGGCCTGTGAAGTTGCCAAGGTCTCATGGGCTCCTACAGACCCTGAAAGGGGGCTGACCCAGTCCCGTAGTGTCAAGGGAAGCGGAATAAGAACTGGAGAAAAAAGCAGGGAGCTGTGACCCGGTGGGGCCTGCCAGAGTGTAGTTGCCAGGAGAACCCCTTTCCAGAAACTACTTTGCCCTGGAATTATAAATAGATGGACACCCTGGCTGGTATTTTCGTGTGCAATGATTCAAAGTTCCTCCGGTAAACTCTAGATTCATGGGTTTAGGATTTAAGGTGTTGAAAACGTACACATTAGCTTCCTCTTCTCTTTGGTGTCATTCTGGCCCACCCGAACCCCACCTTTGCGGGCTGCTCACTACGCACCCTTCCTAGCCAAACGGGAGCAGCTGACCTTCCATGTGCGTGAGGGTCTCTTGGACATGTTCTTCTGGCACAGCGAGAAGGAAAAAAGAGCTTTGGAAAAGGAGATTTTATGAAAGAAACTGTGTAGTCATTCAAAAGATTTATCCGATATCAGAGTTCTCAGGCACCAAGATCCCATCATTTCCATGTGCATTTCATTTACTATTAAATATGCACAGAGATAGGAACAATTCTTTCAGGCATGCTAATAGCCTCAGCCCTAACGCTTCACTGGAAATCCAAGCGTGGTGGTAGGTATATCAGTGACCCCAAGTACTGAAGGATTTGTCTGTGGCCAGAAAAGGTGGCACAGAGATCAGGGAGGTGATGCTGCAGGAAGACTGATGGGGGTTCTTTCTACGAGGGAGTTTTTTAACAGTCAGCCCTGAGCAGGGATAGACAGGCAACCTTGGGATTCAGTGTTTGCCGTCAATAGCCAGAGCTGCCTGGGGGCGCCTGGGTGGCTCAGTCGGTTGAGCATCCGACTTCGGCTCAGGTCACGATCTCACGGTCTGTGAGTTCGAGCCCTGCATCGGGGTCTGTGCTGATGGCTCAGAGCCTGGAGCCTGCTTCCCATTCTGTGTCTCCCTTTCTCTCTGCCCCTTCCCTGCTCATGCTCTGTCTCTCTCTGACTCAAAAATAAATAAAAAACATTAAGAAAAAAAAAAAAAAAAAAA